AATATGCAAATGCAAACAGTGGTGAGAGAGTGACACAGCAGAGGTGTCACTGCAGTCAGAAGAGGAAACTCCAACTTGATGTCAGTCTCAATTACCTATTGCAGCTGTGCTTTAAAAAAATTTATTTTATTTTATTTTATTTTATTTTATTTTATTTTATTTATTTGAAAGGCCAAGTTAGAGGCAGGCAGAGAGAAAGACAGTATTTCATCTGTTCATCTGCTGGTTCACTCGCCTTCCTATCCATTCATTGGTGAAATACTACCACCTGGTTCCTGTAACTCCAAGAATGTTGCAACAGAGCCAGCATTAGTCTAGTTTTAAGACCCAATGACAAGGTGACATACAGGGCAGGTTATGAGTTATATGGAAAGCAAACTCTGGAGTTTGTTGAGGAAATAGGATATGGTTATCTGTCTTTCCAAGAGCTTCGTCCTTTTTGTTTTCAAAGCTGTTCTGGATGGGTGTAGATACTGGACTCAGGAGACTTAGTCCTTTATGGCCCAAGGAAAGCACTTGTCCAGGATTAAATCAAATGAAAAATGCTATGATATTAGTATTTAGCTTCCGGTGGAAAGTTAAAATGTGTGATGGAAATGAGATTGTAAAGAAGAGCCTGGCAGGGCCTGGCGCGGTGGCGCAGTGGTTAAGGTCCTCGCCTTGCACGCCCGGGATCCCATATGGGCGCCAGTTCTATCCCGGCAGCCCCGCTTCCTTTCCAGCTCCCTGTCTGTGGCCTGGGAAAGCAGTCCAGGACAGCCCAAAGCTTTGGGACCCTGCACCCCACCCGGAAGAGGCTCCTGGCTTCGGACCGGCATAACATCGGCCATTCTGCTCACTTGGGGAGTGAATCATCGGACGGAAGATCTTCCTCTCTGTCTCTCCTCTCTGTATATCCGCCTTTCCAATAAATAAATAATAAAAAATAAATCATTTTAAAAAATTTAAAAATAAATAAAAAGAAGAGCCTGGCGGCATGGCCTAGCAGCTCAGGTCCTTGCCTTGAACGCACCAGGATCCCATATGGGCGCCGATTCTAATCCCGGCAGCTCCACTTCCCATCCAGCTCCCTACTTGTGGCTTGGGAAAACAGTCAAGGACGCACCTGTGTGGGAGACCTGGAAGGAAGTTCCTGGCTCCTGGCTTTGGATCAGCGTAGCATCGGCTGTTGCGCTCACTTGGAGAGTGAATCATCGGACGGAAGATCTTCCTCTCTATCTCTCCTCCTCTCTGTATAGCTGACTTTGTAACAAAAATAAATAAATCTTAAAAAAAAAAGAGAGAGAAAGAGATTGAAAAGAAAGAAGAAAGAGATTTGTCAAGCGTCACCAACACATCTGCTGGTTTTCAGAAGAAAATGTGGAGACAACAATGGAAAAGGAATCTATTGTTCTATTCCCTTATGAAGCATTGTTTCAATGAACTCATCTAACCTTTACATCAACTGTCCAAATAACATTTATACCAGTTCTGGAAGGTGCCATAGAAATGTCATAGCACAACAAAACCTGTAGTCCATTTGTTGATAAAACATAAGAAGAGCATAAAATTAGGGATTATCAGTTTTCAAAAACAGAAAAAGCATTAAAATGTTCAAACCTGCTGGAACTTTCTAAATTAAAAACTGGAACACTCCATGTACATGAGACAGACTCATGAAAAGGAGGTAAGTTAAGTATGTTTCAGGGAGGAAAGAGTAAACAATAAAAATGGTACCGCAGGAACAGCAAAAAATGAAAGGCACAGCTGTGAGAGGAGTCCTGCCGAGGTGAGCAAAGGTCTTCCTTAAGGAACAGAAGCGGTGTACGGAGGGAGCCGCCCCACAAAGGCAAGGGCTGCAAGGGAGGGAGTTTGGTGAAGCAGGTAGAGACCACTCGGGAGCTTGCATGTGGCATCTGAGGGCTCACTTCCAGTCCCAACCCCACTACTGAGTCAGCTCAGAGCTAATGCATGCACGGGGCGGCAGAAGATGATGGCTCAAGTACCTGGGTCCTGGTCACCCTTGTTGGAGACCCAGGTGGAGCTCTGAGCTCCTACAGTCCTGTTGCAGACATCTGAATACTGAACCCATGGATGAAAGATCTCTATGTCTAAGTCCTTTAAATAAAGTAAAAAAAAAAGTTACAAATAATACTAATAGCAATTTTTAAACAATTATACAGTTGCAGATACAAAGTAAATTTAATAAGAAAATCACTTTGGAAATTCTATTTAGAAATCTAAAACTGTGGGCCTGGTGCAATAGCCTAGCAGCTTAAGTCCTTTCCTTGCACATTCGAGATTCCAAACGAACACCAGTTCTAATCCCAGTGACCCCGCTTCCCGTCCAGCCCCTTTTTTTGTGGCCTGGGAACATAGTCAAGGACAGCCCAAAGCCTGGGACCCTGCACCTACGTGGGAGATCTGGAAGAGGCTCCAGGCTTCAGATCGGCTCAGCTCTGGCCATTGCTGCTGCTTGGGAAGTGACTCATCAGACGCAAGATCTTTCCTCCTCTCTGTATACCTGCCTTTCCAATAAAAATTAAATAAATCTTTAAAAAAAAAAAAAAAAGAAGAAGAAGAAATCTAAAACTATGGGGCCAGCGTGGTAACCTAGTGGCTGTATGCACCAGGATCCCATATGGGCTCCAGTTTGTGCCCTGACTGCTTTACTTCCCTTCCAGCTCCCTGCTTGTGGCCTGAGAAAAGCAGTAGATGATGGCCCAAAGCCTTGAAACCTTGCACCCACGCGGGACACCCAAAGGAAGCTCCTGGATCCTGGCTTCAGATAGGCTTAGCTTTGGCCATTCACTTAGGAGTGTAGTGAGGTAGGCAGCCAGTTCAGGGTCACGAGCCTGGAAGTCACTTGCCAGCACCTAGGTGTTCCCTCCTGCCCACCTGACTCTGAGCTATCACCTGAGAGGGGGCAGTATTGCATTCTTGTCTAGCCACTCCCCTCACAAGCCCCTATAAAGGCTCATGTTAAGGAGGGGCCAGTGCTGTTGGTCGTGTGCTCCCATTACTCTGGCACTCTGACTCTTGGCCTCCCCAGTATCACTGAGGACAGGTATCCCCTGAGCATGGCCGCAGTGTGTCTGTATTCCTCACCCTTTGTTTACTGCTTGGGCAGGACAATGAAGATAACAATATTAACATGCTTTGTACTTTTTGTGTGCTGTCGGGAGTTCCAGCAGAGGTCAGGCCTAGCAGTAGTGGAATGTGGGCAGAGAGGCCGGGGAAAGATGAATGTCTGTGAGGAACCTCAGTATCAAAATCCCAGCCACTTGCTCATGGCTCATTACTACTAAGAAACTGTGTGAGCTTGCAGGCCAAACGGCCTATGTGAGCTTTGGCACCGATGGGCCCCAATTCTTATGAATCGAGGCCCTCCTTAGCCTGGTTATCTCACAGGTGACTCCAAGTAATTAAATGGGTGCTTCCCTTAGTTGCTGGAGGTACGGGCTGTCCAGCCGAGACAGGTAGGGAATGTGTGGTATTTCCCCTCACCTTATAGGCAATTGTGAATCGCCCCTTTCCAAGCTATGGCAGACTGCCCCTATAAAAACTATGAATGTGATGTCTGGAGCCACACTCCAGTAAGGGGTGTTGGTCCTGGCCAGCCAGCTGGCCGGTCAGTCTGCCAGCTGCCTGCTCTCAACCAAGAGCCCAATCTCGGACATGCCAATGTTGAATAAACCATCCTGTACACTTGGATAGACTTCAGACTCCTGGTGATTTCTGGGGATCTCAGAATCTGGGCACAACAGCCTGCAACTTTGTAAGTGTGGCCGGGTTGCTTGCTGCATGTCTCTTAGAATAACTTATATTGTTGGGGAAGCTGGGACATAGGTCTTCAGCTTAATCCTTCCAGTTAGGGTTACGATTGATTGGCTTGCCATATGGACTTGTGATTTGCTATTTCTAGTGGGCCCTGTTCTCACCAAGCTTGGTTAATAAAGAGTCCTTAATAAACCTTAGACATGTTTGGTGTGATCTCGCTCATACCCCACAACAGGGAGTGAAGCAGCAGATAGAAGATCTTTCTCTCTATCTCGCCTTTCTGTAACTCTGATTTTCCAATTTAAAAAAAAATTTTTTGACACTGTTATGTGAGGAGTGATTCAAACAGCACATCTTGGACCTTGTGCCATTTCCTTCTTCCCCTTCCCCACAGCTCACAGAACTCACGCTGTCTAGGTTATCCACCAATCAGATGTAACCTGGCACATTACCTGAGAATCCCACTCCCCAGGGGGCCTCTCCTGCCCACCCGTGGCTCAGATCTTCTCAGTCGCCAGTCCCTGGAACCAACACACAGCCCCTCCCTTCTCCTCTCTTCTCCCCCTCTCTCTTCCCTTCCCTTCTCAGGGCTCTCCCCATCCACTCCATCTTGTCCTTTCCCTGGCCCTGGCAGCCCCCATCATGCCACCATGGCAGGAGGTGTGTCCCTTCCAGTTTTCTCCCCCTCCACACCTGCTCCCATTCCTACCCTGCTGGAATAGGGGACCTACTAAGCATTTTGCTGCATCTGGGATTTTGGCTTGAGGTAAACTAATCGTGAAAAGAGGACTTGGCTGCGGGAATTAGCTGCATGTAACAACATAAGAACTTAAAGAATTTTAAGTGAGAGTAAAACCTAACAGTTAAAATTGAGGGTTTGGGTGTTTCCAGTACTAACATTGTCATCATCATACTACAAAGTATCACTTGATGAAGAAGGAAATATGAGTCCTCGCAGAAGAAATACATCTTTTTTTATAGGCAGCACCCACAGGCTCAGCCTTCCAACACCAGATTTTACCACATCATACTCAGTACAGGCCAATTCCTGTTGCAGAGGCATTTTAGTTTTCGTGCTGAGACATTTTAAGAAAAGCATTCCTGGAAATCCCCAGCCCCTCCCTGCCGTTTTTTGATTCAGCCAATAGCGACAGAGAACATGGCAGCATCACTAGTCTCCAGCAGACTCTTCACTTCAGAAGGTCTGGTCTGATCTCAGATCTTGGGGAGAAGGGACAGGATGACATGCACTGAGAGGAATGACCTAGTTCCACGGAAAGAAATGAGATACCTTGTGTGGAGAGCCAAACACACCACGTTTTAAAAGGCAAGGCAGAGTGGAGCGTGAGGATTAAAGTATCTTGCGCTGAGGGGGGAAGGGGTGGTAACGCATGTTCGGTCTTGTATGGGAAGTCCCTGGTTGGTTTTGAAAGGGAAGGAAATGGCCGTGACGCTGGACTCTGCTGGCTGCTGATGCATTGGTACCTGTGGTGGATGAAATGGAACTGGTGAGAAAGTCCGGGATCCCACCTGCTGATTGTCATAGGACAACCTATAAAGCTCCTATAAAGCAACACCTCCCATTGTACAACTCAGTTCATCTTCACAACAGAATCGTAACTACTGAGTCTGACATGCAGGGTACTTCTCACATTCAATAAATGTTTGTCAGATTTAACCAGTAAGTAGTGGTCTAAGAATTGCTCATTTCAACAGATCCAACATAGTCATTTTTAGGCTTTAAATCCAATTTGAAGCTCACGAATTTAAAGTACTTATTCAGTTGGATTCATTGTAGAATATGATTAAAAGTTCAGTGCTTCTCCCAACTTCCCTCCAATAAAAAGCACTATCTTAGCTGACCCAAGATAAATGCTGCAAGAGCTGCTAGTGAAATACAGTTACCTGGAAAAATAGAGCAGCGCCGTGTTCCGGGTTGTGAGGCAAGAGTTCTAGCACTCAATAACCCCACTGATCAGGCGCCTTACTCCTCTGAGCTTCCATCTCGTCACCACTGAAATGGAAAGACTGAATTACAGAGTCTCCTATGTCAACACCTAGCTGCCTGCAACATGATGAATATTACCAAACATTTAACTTGTTATTCCACTACTTTGGTTATTTCAGTAACTGGAAATGTCTACTGAAAGAAAGACCGAATGCTCTGAAAACTAAGTTTAACAACAACAACAACAAAAAAGATAACACATTTAAACCGTTCCAGAAGAAAATAATTCCTCAATATGACTAAACAATGTTAACTGATTTTAAAAAGCTCCTTTTCAATTCTTTTTCATAAGTCCCTTAGAAGAAAAATAAGACCAATGCTCACTGGAATTATTTGTACAACAATTGTGCTCATTAGAATTCAGGAATTAGCTAATACTCTGCTACTTAAAAACATAATTATGGGATGGAAACTTCCCCTTCAGCTGGGAAATACAAGAAGTTTCAGAACTTCCTTTTTCATTATTATGTGCTTGCTAGCTGTCCAGTTCTTCCCTTGGCCACTGACTGTACGTAGGTTTATTAGTAATTCCTTTTATAAATCTATGTAATATTTCTAAAGAAGATGGACAATTTCATAACATTCTCAGCTTGCCAGTTTCTGGGTAACGATAAAAAAGAGAGAGAGAGAGAGAAATTTCTGTTTTATATATGAACCAGGAGTTGGAGACATGGTTCGAATCTTATGCAGATGGAAATATCCTTAAATAGCATTTATGGAAGGCCCATCTCAATTTTCTTCAAGAATACAGGAAAATCAGTCAAAGGAGAGATCTGGCATCTTCAGCACTGAAAAGAAAAACAGTTATCGAATAAGAGTTCTACTCTATGACTTAAGCCTTGCCCCCAAATAAACTCCAGCTCTGCATCAAGAGGACAAATCTGTTCTTGAAAGTGTATGTCCTAATTATGTTTGCTATAATACTTTTATTAATTAAATTTGTGGATTTTAGTACAAATACATATGCATAGCATTGTAAAAAATAAATAAATAAATAAGCAGAGATGTCCTGTGACCCCTCCTACCTAGGTAACATAAGGCATAGAGCATTGTGTGTGTGTGTGTGTGTGTGTGTGTGTGTGTGTGTGTAACCTGCACAAGGAAGACAAGCACACTAGGAAGTAATGAATGTATAATACAACATGCAGCTTTATTCCCAATTAGTAGTGGGATTGCCACTGATACCTATAATTAAGCTATATTATAATTTTATATACATATTATGCTGTAATTATACTATACTATATCATACCATATTTTCTATAATTTCCTATACATATCATGTCATTATACATTTATACACACACATATATATACATATACACACACTTATATATACATGTATATATATATATATGTATATATGTATATAAGAAAGTTTCTAAGGATGAACTGAGTGAATGCCTTTGTGATAATTTGGGGAAGGAAGAAAAGATGGGAAGAGATGAACCTCTATGCTTATAAAACTGCATTGTGGGGCCCAGTGCGATAGCCTAGAGGCTAAATCCTTGCCTTGCCCACACCAGGATCCCATAAGGGCACTGGTTCAAATCCTGGCTACTTCACTTCTCATTCAGTTCCCTGCTTCTGACCTTAGGACCCTGCACCCATGTGGGAGATCTGAAAGAAGTTCCTGGCTCCTGGCTTTGGATCAGTTCACCTCCAGTGGTTGCAGCCACTTAGGGAGTGAACCAGCGGCCTGAAGATTCTCTCTCTCTCAGTCTCTCTGTGAATCTGATCCACCGTTCCAATAAAAATAAATAAATCTTTTTTTAAAAAAAACTGTATTGTGTAAAAAATAATTTTTAAAGCTTCAATATAATATCATTACCAGGATATTAACAACGATCCAATCAAAATACAGCATGTTGCCGTCACCACAAGAATCACATTGTCCTTTTATAACCACATCTACTTCTCCATCACCATTCACACTCACACCACCCTCCTCTTAACCATTGGCAACAACATGCTTATTCACTTTTATAATGTTTTCATCTCCAGAGTTTTATGTAAAGAGGTAGATTCTTGGCATAACACTGGAAGGCATTCCACTGACCTTCAGTGCAAGTGAAAAGTAAAAAACAAGTGTTTAAGATCTGCAAGTATTCTGATGACCAACATCAAGTGAAAATTATGAAAATCCATTAAGAAAAGCAAAAGTCTGTGATATATGATGAAGACTATGCCTGTATTCATACTGCCAGATTCACAAGACAGAAATTCCATTCTAAGCATTGTGGCACAGCAGGGTTAGTCACCAATTGGGACCCTGGATATTCTGATCCAACTCACTGCTAATGTGCATGGTGGGGTGCAGCGGCAGAAGGCCCAAGTGTTTAGGCCATTGCAAGTCATATGGGAAACCCAGATGGGGTTCCATTCTCCTAGCTTCAACCTAGACCAGCCACTTGGGGACTCAACTAGCAGCTAGAAGAACCTCAATCTCACTCTCTCTCTCTCTCTCTCTCTCTCATTCTCCTACTCTCCTCTATCAGTCTGTCTTTCAAAAAACAAAAACAAACACACAAACAAATAAATAAATGAGAGAGGAAGGTTTCGCACCAGATCTCTGCTGCCAAGGACAAGGAATCCCTCTCCACACAGCTCCCAGTCAGAGAGCCTTATTCTTATAACGGACAGGATTTCAGAATTTCTCATCCCACCCCAACCACCTACCTGCATGTTGTGGGCACTAAATCCCAGTTAAGCACCATTGAGAAGTGAGATCCCCCTTCTTACACCCAGCCCTCATTTGAAGAATGGAAGATCTACCACTGGTGTGTGACATATTGGAAGTACTTCCGCTGTAGTAAATGTCGCCTTGACTTAGGAAGTGATGATTCCACTCTGGAAGAGGCAAGCTGAGACGACAGCAAGCTGTTGGCTACCCTCTGCACTCTATGTTCAGTACCAATAGATGCACATTCTTCGCAAGCACATATAAAACATTCTCCAAGACAGACCATGTGCTGGAATATAAATCAAACCCTGCTGAAGTTGAAATCACATAGACTTTGTAATTAATACGAATTATGTCCTTGTACCCAAAGGAATAAAACTAGAAAATTTTATAAAACTCACAAATAATGGAAACCAAACAACACAGCTCTAAATAAGCAGGGAGTCCAAGAAAAATTTCAAAACATAGGCCAGAAAGTATTCTGAAATGAACAAAAATTAGATTACAGTATATCAAGGCATTAGATGCAGCTCAAGTAATGCTAAGAAAACATAGGAGAAATTTTTCACTAACCTGGACTTGATAATAGACTCTTAAATGGCACGAAAAGCCTGAGCTACAAAAGAAATGATAGATAAGCTGTATTTGTCAAAATTAAAAACTTAGAGCTTTGAGTGACACCAACAAGAAAGTGAGGAGATACATTGCCTAGGCTGGTTAAAAAAATCTGATCATATAGCTAATAAAGGATTTACTAATAAAGAACTCTTACCATTCAGTAATAAAAAAGACAAATAACAATTTAAAATGAGCAAATAATCTGAACAGATATTTCTCAAAAATAACACACATTAGACCATAAGCACATGAAAAGATGCTCAACATCATTAGACACCAAGAAAATTAAAAAGCAATGTCACAACGAGACACCATGTAATATCCATGAGAGTGGCTACAAACACAAAGTCAGATATTAACAAGAGCTGGTTTGAGCATTGAGAAATACATTGCTAGTGGGAATATAAAATAATATAGCTACTTTGCAAAATAGTCTGACAGTTCCTCTAGCATTCTCAAGTAAACTGTATCATTCACTCGAACTCTTACATTTTATAGAGGAAATTGTCCAAAACTGGCATCAAGGTTTTTCTTTAAAGGCCTAATAGATGCTTCATTGAAACCATCTAGGTCAGGAGATTTCATTTTGGGGAGATCTTCACGTGGATCCAATTTTCACAACAGTTACGGATCATATTCAAATTGTTCAGGAGTGTCTATTAGCTCTCTGTAGCTCCTTCTCTCTCTAAACCTACCTTTCCAATAAAAATAAATAAATCTTTAAAAAGAATCATTTTATCAGTGTTTGAAGCCTAAGGCCTCAAGACATTATCAGAAATACTATTTACTAAGAGAATTTTCATTCATTGTCCTCCTAGCTTCAGGAGCAAGGAAGAACATTCTTACATTGCTCAGAATTTTCTCACCAGTGCTTCAAGGTTAAACAGTGAAATTCTAGTGTTTGAAACTGAATTAAAAAGAAAAAGACCTTTTCAAAATATTTGTATTGGAAAGGCAGATTTACAGAGAGAAGGAAACACAGGAAGATCTTCCATCTATTAATTATCTTTTCTTAGTGTGAGATCTTTGCTGTTAGAGCGATTTTCTGTTGAAAACTTGGACATTCTGAAACAGGTACAACTCTGGAGCTTATTTAAGCTTTCCCTTTTAGTTGAATTCTCTGATGTGACTCAACAAGGAAGGAGAGAACACTTCCTCATTACTATGTAGAAGAAAATGTTCAGCCTTAGAGGAGACTGAGAAGAGGGGGCTTTGTGCTACTGTTGGGTAGGGAGGGGACCTACAAAGCTCCCACGTAAACCTCCATAAGGGTGGCTGAGTGCCTCATTGCTGTCTCCATGTAGCTTTCACTGACATGCAGGTGAATGGAGTTTCCTTCTGTGAAAGAAGCCTTTACAGTGGGCTGGGAGAGAGGAAGGGGACACTTGTTATGGACTGACATGATGGAAGTGCAGTCTCCCCACGCAGTCTTATTAGTGTGTGTACATGAGCCCACAGTCTATGTTTGATTTGATTTGGGCTTTTTTTTTTTTTCTTCTGGCATGCAACTGCAACAGAGTAACTACTTTCTGAAAGGCTCCCATCTTTCTAGGCTGCTTCCTTCAGTCCTTTGCTACAAGGAGCAAGCCTTTGTTAAGGCTTCATTGGTCTGCATTTTAAGAGTTTCTAACTTGATGGCTTCTTCCACTAGTCTGGGATAAATGAGAAAAAAAGAAAACCCTGGGAACTTGTCATCAAGTTGTGAGTTCCCAGCCTAGGGGCCTTTTTCTGTCCACCTTCAGAGTATTTTCAAGGCTACCTGTATATGTAATGTCCAGTGTTTTACACTGTAATTAACAAAAGGAATAAGGATAAGCACAATTGAGCCATATTTCCAAAAGCATAAATTCTCAGTCTATTTTTATAACTGTCTCCTAAATTGTAAATTTAGTTAAAATTCTCATCACCATACATTTCCTACATTCCGTATTTTAATTTTAGTTGCTAACATATTCAATGTGATTTCTAGATACAATTCTAAAATACATAAGGATACTTCCTTCATTCATCCATATCCCCCCTCCCCAATCTCCTACTAAATGAAAACTATTCTCTGTGGATTTAATTTGTTGGAGGATATTGTACTTTGTATGAAATTGGCTAGTTTACACGAAGGTGTAATCAGTTTAGACTCCATCCTGCTGCAAATTTGTGCGTGACTTTCAATGCATTCTTGATATTGATGAAGGATTTTATTGGCTGCTATGTCATTTATCATTCACTCAATGTGTTTCTATATTTAAAACAGGTGACATCTTTTTCACCTTGACATTTTAAGTTTCCTTATGTTTTTTTTTAATACAGAGATTATTCACTAAATTGAAGTATCATTCTTTTCCTATTTTCCCTCTTGATCTTATATTTAATGGTTCTTTCTTAGAGCTGAGATGAAATAGCAATTATTCTATTCTGGGTTGGTTTTCTTCTCTACCAACATACCTCCATGCTTCTGAATATTTCCACCAGCTTTTTGAGGAACATATAAATTATATTACAGGAAAATTTTAGTATGTTTCTACCATTTTTTTTCTCCATCAACTTGGCTTATGAAAA